CTTCTCAGAGAATGTACACAAAGGTTCCTCTGTAAAGAGACCAATGTCCTCCGACTCTCAGAGCATAACCCTTGGCAGGGCTCAGCAAGTGCACGATGATTTCTTGGTTGTCCTTCGATCGACAACTTCTCCCTGAACCTGCTGAGGAGGCAGAAAGGCTGTGGAAAGCTGTGTTTCCATTCTTGGTTCTCTGTGCTGTTCGTGGGCACTTGTTATTTTCCCAAAGCCTTCTTCTGGTGGCTGTGTGTTTATTTAGAGACTGCTCCAAGAGCCCCCAGAGCTGCCTGCACAGCACACCTTAGATGTGGTATTTATTTTCTTAGTTCTGTGAACACCTGGGAGGGAAAGCAGAGAAACTAGGATTTATTTTTCAAATGGGTGTCATAATATTGTGTAAAAAGGGAAGAAAAAAACACCCCCAGCTTCTTTCTTTTTCAAGCCAAAGTGTTTCCTGTTTGAGTTCCAAGCCCTGGTGGCAGACTATTCCTGAAGGCAGAGAAGACGGGAGGGGAAGGCCATTTGCTGAAGAGACCAAGAGACAAACCATCAGGGGGTTCCCTCCTGCGTCTTTGCACCTATCACTCCCAGAGTATGACGTGAAGGCCCTTCAGATGGTCTTACGTGCGTGTACATATGTGTAGAATATATATTTATAAATATAAATATTTATTTACTAATAGATTTTTCCTGACTGAAAAAAATATATATGTAGTATAGCAACAGAAAGTGAAAGAAAAAGAAGGTTCTTACCCCCCCGTCCCACCATTTCATTGTGAAGACTCATTGCCCCATGGTGACTTTGAAATTTAAGGGAAATGAAAGTAGCTTCTTATCATAGAAAGACTGAGAATTCCTATTCTGGATCCTCAAAACAACCTTGAAAGATATACTGGGCAGGATTTATTCTTACATTTGTCAGATAAGGAAACTGAGTCTTAGAAAAGTTAAGAGACTTGTCCATGGTCTCTTAGCTAATGTAGTTTGGGAGTAGGTGCCACTTAAGAAGATATTGAATAGAAAAAATAATCCACACATCTTGGAAATAGGGTCATTTCTGGTCACTGAGAAATAACTCCATTTGGCTCCAGGTTGCCAGGGAAGAATGAATATGCAGCACATGTGTGGATGGGACAAGCCTACATGAGAGAGCGAGGCCTCATGATGCTTCCCAGAGATCCTCTCTGTCCTGAACTGGTGAGAAGTCGGTCTAGGGTTGAAGGCACTAGACAAACCAGCAAATTAAGCTCTCCACATATCACCTCATCATGGTCATCATAGTCTCTCAGTCTGGAAACACCCCTGCCTGCAGAAATGACCTCAGTGGAGAATCACAGGAGGACTGAGGTACCTTCTGCAAGGTACTGCCAGCCAGTACGCAGAGAAGTCTTGGCAGAGCCCAGTGGGCTTCATTCAGCTAGTGCAGACATTACCCTCCTTTTATAAGGGCAAGTATCTGTGGAGCTCTCTTGACAGAGAGAAACATTTCCCTCAACGCATTTACTCCCTCAGGCCTCCATCCCCTCTGAGATTTCTCACGTGGAAACCTGGGCCCACTTGACATCACTCCACTGAGCCTCCTTGAATTTCCTTGCACTGGATCAGGAGCTTTGCACAAGGAATGGAAAAATGAGATTGTGTGTTGACCCTAACTCTGAAGGAGTTGGTCATCCAGGACAGACATCTAGGGCCATCGTGCTCAAGCTAACAATGCAGAACCCTTGGCAAGGGGAAAACCAGGCAACCCGAAGAATATCCTGAATGATGGGATCCTTGGTGATGGGACCAACAAGCTCCAGAATGACAACAGGTACTGTCTTGGAAGCCACTTTATTCTGAGACGAACACAGGTTCAGGTTTGGGGTCACTGATTCTATGACTTTTACAGAAGTTTTTGCATATGTTTCAGCCCCTATCCCCCAAGATGGAGGCTGTTGAGACATGGCACTATTAACAGGTGAAACTGATTCTCAGAGATTCACAAGTGAGAGACTGGCCCCCTGCCCACTCTACTTACTCTATTGCATAGCACTTGTACTGTTGCTTGAGAGACATGTCTCAAGTCTTCCACAGAACACAGAGTATGACAGACTTCAGTGAAATTGAACTTCCATTTCAGCAACCTCAGTAAGCCTAGTGTCGTTTAATCTGAACTTGGGACTCATCCATCAATTACTGTGACGGTAGTTTCCTACTGTAGAGTACCATATCAGAGCGGTCCACGCAGCACCCTCTGAGGTTGGCAGAGAAGGTATTGTTATCATCCCAATCTTAATAATAAGGAAAACAAGGCTTACGGAGGTGTAGTATCATCTCAAAATCACACAGGCAGTCAGGGGAGAATCCAGTCCTTATTCCTCATCTGATTCTGATTGTGGTCATGCCACAGACATGTTCTCATCTGCCCCCATGTTTCTACCCCACTAGCAATAAAAAGAATAAAACAAGAAATCTTCAACATATCATGTTGTCCCTGGACTAATGGGCTAGGAGTTGTGCCTCATTATGGCTTTGTCTTTGTGGGTTTCCTCCAGTGAGTTGAGAATGGAGATAAACTTAGTAGGTTAATTATATTTCAGGTCAGAGACCAGCTCCTCTCAAGAGAGTTCTTTCCACAGATGGAAAAGATATGTTAAAATTGCCAAATAAATTAGGAAATACTTGGCAGAACCTGGAAGAGCCTCCAGACTGGTGTTACATAACATGCATATACATTATACATATGCACATTATATAAGGTGACATAGTACTTAATGTGCTGTATATATTATGTAAATTACATATTTGTGAGTAATCATGATAAATATAGAGACCTACTAATCACTTTTTTACACATACTCAGTGACAGATTAGGAAGTTACTTTGCCAGAGAGTCTTAAAACTTACTCTCTCCTGCTGCTTTGGTTCCAACTCCTGCCAAAAATAATTGCATCAACTTTTCCCATCTCTAGCCCCCTCTCCTGCTGGCCAAAACCCTCAGTTACCTCCTGTCCCAGCTAGGCTGTACCTTCTGTGGAACACTACCACAATTGGGATCCATAAAAATAGAATCATGGGGATGGGAAGGATCTAGACTCCCAGATTCCCTATGTTTCAGGCCTATACCTCAAGACTCCAGAGCAGGTGGGTGCCTAATGTTAATGTTAAAGGCAGGGAGGAGGAGATGAGGGATGGGAGGGAGGAAGAGTCTACCAACCTTCTGAGGAAGGAAACGTCATAGTGTTCCTCGTCCACCAGTCCCAGGATCCAACAAAAATCAATCAGGAGGTTATTTCAAACAGCATATCTGAAACCATAATTTTCTAAAATGTGTTTCATAAAATACTAGTATCCATGAAATGCTCCACGAAAAAAAGAATTCTGTGGTCAAGTATAAGATCTCCTTCTAGGAGATGTATAGAGAGGCTTAACTCAGAACTCACAGTAAAGAACCATGGAAACCTCTGTCTTTCAACATCTGTAGATCAGACACACTACCTTAAGTCCACCATTTCTTCTTTTTGTTCTCAGCAGAGATGGGAACATGCAAGTAACCATCCTCTGCAATAATATTCCAAAAAGTACTTTTCTATGACGAGGAGTCTCTGTTCTTAAGACACTCTTTATTGTTTCTTCTATGTGATTGTTTAACTGTTTTTATTGTCCCCATATTCCCATTGTTCGATGTGTCTTCAAGCAAGAATGAAAGATCTGGACTCAGTGTTCCCTGAGCAGGGAAGAGATTGGGGGAAAGTAAGAAGAAACATGATAGCTGCCAGGGGTCAGACTTATCTGTGTAGCTCCAGAGAGCAGAACCAGGTCTAAAGAGCAAAATTGTAGTCTATTTTTATTTAGTTTAATGACTGCTCTTAGAGCTGGTCCAATATGGAAAGGGCTGCCTGGTGGGGAAATAAATAGCCACCTGCTCTTATAGGAAAAGCTTTGACCTGGTTGGGTAGGAAACAAGCAGTGACTGATGTACCTTCTCCAAAATGCTGCTGAACTGTTTTTGTAGGCATCAGTGTTAAATCAATAGGTCTGTTACTTCCTCTTGAATGGCATACTTCAGTGTTACTTGTCTTCTGAAGAATAAAAAGTGACTCCCAGAGAGATTTCTGGATCAGTGGGTACTGACCACTTCTACATGGCAGGAATGACCAGACTCATTGGCACCCTCAAGGGCAACCAGTGGTGGTGATCTCTCCTTGGTAGCTCTGAGAGTTAAAGGAATGAGTTACAGTATTAAACCCCAAGGTAATTTTGCATTTCTGTTGGGGACCATAATAACAGTTTGGAATTCTTCTCATGGTCACAAATACCAGAGCTGCGTCCAATTTGCAATAACAATGAAAAAATTATCTCACATCTCAAATATCAATCCAGTTTTAGATAAATCAAAGGCGTAGGATTGTATAGAATTTCACATGGGGCTATTGTTTTTAGCTTACCTTGATGTTCCACCATATTGGAGTGCATCGTTCAACTTTCTACTACGGAGAGAAAATAAGAAAGGGAGATAGGAAAGGGAATTCCCATTTATTGCTTACTGGGTGCAAGGAACTGTGTCAAGATCTTTTCATGTGCTATTCCATTTAATCCTCAGAGTAGCCTATGATATTGCATTGTACGTATTTCACAGATAAAGGAATTAGTGCATAGAAAGTTGAAGTACCTTGTCCATGGTCAGACAGCAATGGTAGAGCTAGGATTTGAACAGGTCTGTCTCACATCAAAATTGATGCTTTTTCTACGATTTTTTAATGTCAACATTCTTATGTAACTATTTACAACTCTGCTATCATCCTGGGAGAGATTAAGCAGCACTGAAAAATTGACCCCTATCTGGTCAATCTCTGTATACCCATCTAATTATGTTCCTACTGAAGAACTTCCAGTGCTTGCTCACATTTAAACTCAACAGCCTCCATGGACAGCTGGAACCTAAAACCACACTCTTGCAATCAAATTGGC